ATGGTTTTTAAACGCTTTATGTGCTTTGACCTTATCATACCATAGATATGCATGCCACCCAAAGACATTATTAAAACCTTCTAAGTCCAACACATCAGTGTTCTCAAGAAGCATCCATTCTCTCAGCCAGCAAAAAGCGGCTGATTCATAATAAAGTTTTAAGTCTGGCAGGGCAAATCCACCTCTTTCCTTAGCGTCAGTTAATATCTTAAATTTTATTCGAGGTTTCTTGCCCTGCCAGACAAATCTAGAGATATCTCTCTGCCACTTCTTGAAACACTCCATTTTATCTAGTATTTGCAATGTTTGAAACAAAAACAACATCCTTGGCAATACATTCATCTTTATCGCAGCAATTCGGCCTAGCAATGATAACTTCAGATTTGACCATATTTCTAGATCCTTTTTCACTTCCGTCCAACATTTTTCATAGTTATCCTTAAACAGATTCACATTTTTAGCAGTCATGTTAACCCCTAGGTATTTCACTTTCTTAACCAATGTTAATCCTGTCTCCTTCTGAAACCTTTCTCTCTCCGTCACTGTTAAATTTTTCTCTAAAACTTTAGTTTTCATCTTATTCAACTTAAATCCCGCTACTTGTCCAAATTCTTGGATCAGTTCCAGTACTCTTTTGGTACTAGATTCTGGCTCCTGTAATGTCAATACCAGATCATCGGCAAATGCTTTCAGTTTGTACTGTTTTGCTCCAACTTGTATACCTTTAACTGTTTGGTCCCTCCTAATCATATTTAAAAGAACTTCCAGGACCGATATAAAAGCAATGGAGAGATTGGGCAACCTTGTCATGTTCCTTTCTCTATCTTAAATTCTTCCGTCACTACATTGTTCACAACTAATTTAGCCTTTTGTTCTGAATAAATTGCACCTATACCATTTTCAAAACCTTGACCAACCCCCATCCCCTGTAGGAGGGCTTAATTTTGTTAATGGAGAAATCTGAGGCCTCCCTTGGACAAAAAACAAGGACACCAGCCAGGAATACCAGAGCAAAACAGCAGCCAGTAGGCTTGGTCTTTATTGAAGACTGTTGCGACAGGACTCCCACCTGCCACAAGGTGGAACAAGATGGAAGCCCTGTACAAAAGAGAACTCAAACTTTTATTAGGTGATAATCCCCATGTTACACCCCCCCAAACTACATCACTCATACATCATGGTTACATCATGAAAGGGGAGGTCTGGTGGCCTGCCCCATGGTTCTCCTTGCCCTCCACCAAACACCCATCAAGTGTAACAAAAAAGATATTTACATTTCCCTGCTTCCCAGCCAAGTTAATAACACCCTTTTGTCTTCATCTGAGTTTGTTATTTCTGGAATGGCTACCTGTCTGGCACTCAGGTATCAGGATGCCAGGGATTATCACTCAGGCAGAGGGGCTGCTGAGTAGCTGAGCTCACATGTCTATATGAATTTCTGAAGTTTTCCAGTGAGCCACTACATAGATACATTTATCAGTGAATTCTTACATTTGGTATCGTGCAGCAAAGGCCCTTTGAATAGATAGGAAGAAACTGTGATGAAGTGTTTTGTGGGGATAAATCACAAAGTCACAAAAGTGAGTGTGCTGGTTTTGGTAGTGGGCTGCATGTGCATGCATAGCTGTCAAGTGTCCCTTATTTGAAGGGACAGTCCCTTATTCCAGTGCCATGTCCCGCTGCTGTCCCTTATTGATGGATGTCCCTTAAATGTCCCTTAAATGATGTCCCTTAAATTTCAAAGAAAGCAGCTCCTCTCCCTCCCTCCCTGCCAGTCAGGGAGGAGGGAGGCTCCAACTGTGTTGCTTGGCTGTGTTGCTCACCCAATAAGAAGTCTAAGAACGACTGGGGGGGGAGCTTGCATGCCTTGTGCTGATCAAATTGGCTGCATTGCCTGGGGACTCGCCTTTGCTCAGCACTTCCCAGTGGAGAGGTGACGGTGGTTTTCCTTGAGGCTTCGTTTGGCTGCTGGCTGGGCTTTCTGCCTTTGGCTCAGAGGGGCTCAGAAGTTGAACATACCTGTGCTGAGTGCTCGGATCGGAATCGAATGGATACGTCATCGACGGCCTACTCACCCTTGCCAGCGAAAAGGTCTGTCTGGAGCGGGGGCACATGGTGGGGGAAAAGGAAAGGAGATCTCGTGGGAGGGGGGGGGCTTTTTTCAATTTGTTTTGGAGGATCCTTCGATTGTCTTATGGGGGAAAAGAAAGGAGCTGGTTGACTAAAATGGTGGGTGACTGGCGATCTCGTGGGGGGGGGAGGCTGTGTGTGTGTGGCTAGTTAATGCAAGTTGAGGGGGTTTTTGAATGCTGGACACCATTTTGTTGCACGTGCTGTTGCAAACTTTGCAGTGCCAAGCCAGGCCAGGGAGCCATCTTAAGTCGAGGCTGCATAGGCCTTGTGGTGCATGTGATTCAGATTTTATTCAGTTGAACCTCTGGTTACAAAGTTGGTTGGACAGTGTTCTCGAAGCTACCAGCATGAGTTTGACCAGACTGCAGGAGGACAGGAAGACTGGAGTGCCTGGAACAGGTGAGGCTGCAGGTCCCTTATTTTGGCTGCTGGTCCCTTATTTTCAAGGCTGCTAGTCCCTTATTTTCAAATCTGTAAGTTGACAGCTATGTGTGCATGATATCTGCTGGAGGGGCAACCCCCCCCCAACCTATACATAAATTCCTGCAACAGTTTCCATGTGATTTTCTGTGACTGCTAATTCAGTGAAGATCTGTCTCAGTTGATGACATGGCTCAGAGTTGTGAAATGTGTGGGGCACTTTTTAATATTGATACTAAAACACTAAAACTAGCAAACTGATATTAAACAGTTGAAACATTCTAAAGATCACATAAAAACAAACAAAATAAATTGGTGAACTGTGCATCTTTATGACACACTTCGGAAGGAATATATCAATAAATGCCAAACATACAGGATCAATTTTCAACAGCAGACTTACGAAGTTAACAGCAACCTTATTGAAGACAATGACATGATATCTAAATGAAGAAAATCCAGAGTGTTGTGAGAATTTAAGGTGTCAAATATGTAATTTAAATGTTCATAAATTTACAAGGCAAACACATACATAAGTATATAAACCATGTGTCTGAAATAGTACAGGAGAACAATCCTGAAGCCATTTTGACTCTCTCAGTGACCTCAAATATACCTCTGCAGTAGAGAGGAAAATAGGGAAAACCTCCCCATTGTCTCTTTGCTTACAAATCCTGTCTTAAGGGTGTATTTGTGTATGAATAGAGTGAGCCTGTGACCTGGATTCAGGAACTAAAAGTATTTACCATCACAAAAGAATGGCCAGGCTGCCCAGCTAAAGCAATCAGTGACCATTATCAGGTATCCTGGCAAACAGGATTTCTGCTGTAGACCGCCTCCTTCTGTGATGTATGTATGATGTTTGGGGGGTGGTATTGGGCTACAGGGTGGGCAATTTCAAAAGTCTATATAAGGGCTTGTGCCACACCATTGTTCTGGATTCTCTCCTCCCTCCTGCGTGTGGTGAGCAGGTGACCCTGTTGCAACAGTTAATAAAGATTAGGCTTACTAGCCGCTTTACTTCTCCATATACTCTGGTTGGCCTCTGTTATTTTCTCCTACTGATAGGGAACCTACTTAAGGACTCTATGCGGGCTCTTGGATACCCCATAAGGGAAGAGGAGCAGCTTTTTCTTATAACACAGAGTATTGAGATAAAGTTGATAATAACATATACATCTCCAAAAAAAAGAGAAAAGTGAAAATGATCTAGGTTCTTCTGATAAGGAATAAATGAAAGAAATGAAGGGAGACCAGTCATCATAAAATTTTCCTCAGGTAATGTCACCTCTGACTACTTGGCAATGTTGTGTTAGCTTGTCTACTGGCGCAACCTTCCAAACTCAATCAAAGCAGCTTTGCACAGTTGACAAACAGTCAGTTGTGTGTGGCGTACTTTCTGGTCTTTGGTTGGGTTTCGTTTGGTTTGGTTTAGTGATTTCTCCATTTTTCTTCCCCAACTGACACAAAACATATGTGGTTTCTGAATGCATTTGCTTACTCACTGGGCTGTTTGGGAGTTCCCCCCGATTGGTGTATAAAAGTTTGGTTGTAAGCCTCGAGCTTTCTCCAAGCATGCTGATGTAAAACATATAAACAGCTATATGACAGCATCTTAAAAAGCAGAGACATCACCTTGCCAACAAAGGTCCGTAGAGTTAAAGCTATGGTTTTCCCAGTAGTGATGCATGGAAGTGAGAGCTGGACCATAAAGAAGGCTGATCGCCGAAGAATTGATGCTTTTGAATTATGGTGCTGGAGGAGACTCTTGAGAGTCCCATGGACTGCAAGAAGATCAAACCTATCCGTTCTTAAGGAAATTAGCCCTGAGTGCTCACTGGAAGGACAGATCCTGAAGCTGAGGCTCCAATACTTTGGCCACCTCATGAGAAGAGAAGACTCCCTGGAAAAGACCCTGATGTTGGGAAAGATGGAGGGCACAAGGAGAAGGGGACGACAGAGGACGAGATGGTTGGATAGTGTTCTCAAAGCTACCAGCATGAGTTTGACCAAACTGTGGGAGGCAGTGGAAGACAGGAGTGCCTGGCATGCTCTGGTCCATGGGGTCACGAAGAGTCGGACACGACTAAACGACTAAACAACAACAACAACATGACTTTCAGAAGACATCTGAAGGCAGTCCTATACAGGGAAGTTTTTAAATGTTTGCGGTTTTATTGCGTTTTAGATATTTTGTTGGGAGCTGCCCAGGGTGGCTGGGGCAACCCAGTCAGATGGGCAGCATAAAAATAATAAAATTATTATTATTAAGAAAATAGGAAGAGCATGGCTGGCTCATGACCATGGCCCATTGAGTTCAGCATCCTTTTCTCACAGTGAACAACCAGGTGTCTGTGGGCAACCTGTACATATCAGTGGAAACTCAGCTTCCTCTCCCTGTTTTCTTCTCTAGCTTCCATAACTAATCTAAGAAAAAATCCTTCCATTATGAGCTTTCGTGTGCATGCACACTTCTTCGGTGTGTATCTGAAGAAGTGTGCATGTACACGAAAGCTTATACCAAGAGCAAACTTAGTTGGTCTCTCAGGTGCTACTGGACAATTTTCTTTTCTTTTTAATATATATTTCTAGGACAAGAATGTTGCTAATTAAGTCTGTGGTCCTCTTGATAGAACAAGAGGTGGCTATTACATACCTTTCAGCACTTTTCGGCTGAAAATAGAGACATCAATAATAATAATAATAATAATAATAATAATAATTTTATTCCTTATATCCAGCTCATCTGACTGGGTTGCCCCAGCCACTCTGGGTGACTTCCAACATATTTAAAACATAATAAAACATTAAAGATTAAAACAAACTTCCCTATGCAGAGCTGCCTTCAGATGTCTTCTAAAGGCTATATAGCTACTTATCTCCTTGGCTAGGGGGTCGCATAACTCCATACCCTCCAACGTTTCTCTGATGAAAATAGGGATGTCCTACCATATGCTACAACATTTGCCTGATGAAAATAGTGACGTCCTAAGGAAATGAGGGATGTTCCAGGATCAAATCAGAAACCAGGATGGCTTCTGTGAATCCGAGACTGTCCCTGAAAAATAGGGACTCTTTGAGGGTCTGCTATTACATTCTACAGAGCTGTGATATTTTAGCATAAGGGGCTGCCTGCTGTGCATTACCAAGCAATGACAGCTTTAGGGTTATGCTTTCAAATTCCAGAATTTGGACCCGTTGCCAGGGGGGCAGTGGCCCTGGGCACAAAATTCTGATGGGGTGGCACCCCCACAATAGTCTCCCTGCTGAGCTCCTGCAACCTTCTGGAGCTGCAGAAAGACAGGCCGTGCCTGGCCTGGGTCTTCGCCCTTTGGGGCTGGAGAGGTGCTTCTCCTTGGACGAAGGTGCCACTACCGAGAAGGCCCTCTGTCTGGTTCCCTGTAGCGACGGAACTGCCAGAAGGCCCTCACAGCTGGACCTCAGTGTTCAGGCTGAATGATGGGGGTGGAGATGCTCCTTTGGGTATACAGGGCCGGGGCTGTTTAGGGCTTTACATATCAGCACCTATGTTCCGAGCTGCAAAAGTGGGTCGTGGTTCTAGAAAGCTTGAAGGCTACTGAATTAGCCTTCCAGGCAGGAAGGAAACATAAAGAGTGAATGAAAAGGAATGCAGGAAAAATATGAACCCAGTTCTCCTAAAAGCTAACCCAAGCTTGGTTCAAGATTTTATTTTTGCATAAAGGTCTAGTTGTGTCCTTAACCGAGTGAAGTCCCATCACTCACATCAGTGCAGGAGGCAAAACAGGATGTGGCAATGAATAACCAAACATGTACTGGGATGGCCCTATTTGGAATGAATCTGGCCTACTAAAATCCAATTAAGTTTGTAACTGTAATTTGGCCAGGCATGCACACTGCATGCCCTGTTCCTGCAGGAGATCATCAAACTGAATTCAGCAACCTGGAAGTTAAATAGCGAGGGTATTATTCATTTCAGGGTCTTTAATTTTCCATTAATCCCTTCATAAACAATTGAGGAGGGAAATTACTCCGTGGCAAAGGATTATCAAGCGGATACAGTATTTGCACTCCATGTAATTGAATACTTTCTTGCACTTCCAATATTGTCTTAGCGGCAAAACCCACACTACAGAGCCAGGGTGAGATTTGAAGTCACCCACAATGCAGAATGGAAAGTTAATGGATGCTGATATATCACGGGTAAGATTGGCTTCAGTTTACCCCCAAATCTTTGAAAGAAAATTGAGTTTGCATAGTTCAAGGAACAGAAGAAGCTAGGATTGTCAGGGACTGGGCAGAGGAGGAATGATGGAGACCTTTTCAGGTAGGAGGAAGAGGAAGACAGTACAGTGGTACCTCGGGTTAAGTACTTAATTCGTTCCGGAGGTCTGTACTTAACCTGAAACTGTTCTTAACCTGAAGCACCACTTTAGCTAATGGGGCCTCCTGCTGCTGCCGCGCTGCCGGAGCACGATTTCTGTTCTCATCCTGAAGCAAAGTTCTTAACCTGAAGCACTTTTTCTGGGTTAGCGGAGTCTGTAATCTGAAGCATATGTAACCTGAGGTACCACTGTATAGATTTACAACAGGGGTTTGAGGGAGGTTGCAGCTCACAGGCAGATGAGGGGGAAAGTTGGGAAATGATGGGAGAGCTAGAGCAACAGCTGGCTGACACATATTATAGAAAGCATTCCAGACCCTCCATCTCCCAGGACCTGGCAAGCCTTGAAAGTAGGAGAGCAAAGAGCTCAAAGACAGAAGGAACATAGCAGCAACCATAGAAGTCACAAATAAGGTAATGGGAGAGACAGGGTGTGGAATTTCACTTGGGACAACGACATTATCCAAGAGGCTGGGTTCTATAGCCTCTCTCTGCAAAGATTGAAATAAAAAAGGACGGTAAGAAACCTTTCCTTGTCTTTATAATTTCCTGGGCAACCAAAGGCTGACAGCATCCTGACAGGGATGGAATGTAGTTCAACAGTCTGCACCAAAGCCATGACTCCAAGCATATTAGCCTAAATGAGGCAGTAGAAGCAGAGAAGCCTACTCACCCTCTTAGGTGGGTGCTGTTGTGGGCCGGCACTCCTCCCCATCATGATCTGGTGACAGAGGCCCTGCCTCTAGGCTACTTCCCGGGTAGCAAAGGACATCGCTGGACTGATCTTGCAGCCTGCTTGCAGAATTGGCCAGTTTCAAGTGGGCATGGGGACAGGCCACTCAGTGGCAAAGGATTATCAAGCTGATACAGTATTTGCACTCCGTGTAATGGAGCAGACCTAGTTGGGCCTCCTGGCTTCACTTGGGTCCATGCCCTGGGTCTTTAAAGAGGCCCATGGCTGACCTTAGCAGTCCCTTCGTTGCTGGATCACCCACCCAAAAAGCTATCCACCCACCTTCCCTCCTCATTAGTCTTATGTGTGCTGCTTTGATCAACTTTGCTATAGATGTGGTTGGTCACATTTTTGGGGCCAGGTTGGAATTTACCCATCTGGCAAATTGGCTCTGCCACCTGGTCTTCACCATCCTCATAGCAATCGCCACAACTTTGGAGGTTTGGGCATTCGCTGGGTTAGTCTTTGGCAAAGGGGAGGTTGCAGCCTCTGCCTGCCCCTCCAGAAAATGGGGTATTGTCAGGGTACTGCTGGTGGATACTGGCTGCCTGCCCAGTAAAGCAGAGAGACAGAGAAAAAGCGAGCTTTTCGGTGCTTTTATGATTACAATTGCCGGGACAAAATTCCATCTGCACCGTTCATTCTCCGACATTGCCTTGAGTGAAGCTCCACCCCTTCTCTGTTACTTCCCTGTTCATTAGATTCCTCCTTTTTGCTAGGCGGCTGCTTAAGTGCCCTCTGCCTTGAGCTTGCTGTTCTGCTATTCTCAATGAGCACCTAGTTTTGGGGAAGGGAATGGGTTCTGGGATATTCTCCAGCAACAGCGTGTCTGTCAGCTGCTGCTCAGGCTCTGCCAGTTCAATGCTACCTGGTTCCTGCTCTTCCCATTATTTCTCAGCTTCTTCTTCTTCTTCTTCTTCTTCTTCTTCTTCTTCTTCTTCTTCTCCTCCTCCTCCTCCTCCTCCTCCTCCTCCTTCTCCTTCTTCTCCTCCTCCTTCTTCTCCTCCTCCTCCTCCTCCTCCTCCTCCTTCTCCTCCTCCTCCTCCTCCTCCTCCTCCTCCTCCTCCTTCTCATTATTCTCCTCCTCCTCCTCCTCCTCCTTCTCCTCCTCCTCCTCCTCCTTCTCATTCTTCTCCTCCTCCTCCTCCTCCTCCTCCTCCTTCTTCTCATTCTCATCCTCCTCCGCTGCTGCCTTCTCCTTCTTCTCCTCCTCCTCCTCCTCCTTCTTCTTCCTCTTCCTGGGTGTGACCTGTGACAAACCACTCCTGTAGATCTATACTATCTGCCCCTTCTTCCTCTCTGGAAGGCTCCTGGGGAGGCGGCCTCCAACATTCATCTGCTCAGTCCCTGACAGGTATCCTATTAAAGGGATCCAGGGAAGATACTCCTGTCTGGATGCTTGGGCAGCAGCTAGGACCACAGCACACCCCAAGTGCAATCTTGGGGGGGGGGGAGCTACTCTTTGAGGTAGGTCAAGAGCTCCCTCTCTTCCAGTTGACCCCAAATTAAGTACTTCAGGCAGGCAGGTGCAGAAGAGGTATGGTCTTCCCAATGCCCAGGCCAAGTCCAGCTTTGTGTTCTTCGATGTTACCAGGTAAATACCGACAGGAGCTCCATAGATATTTCCTTCCAAATGCTCATAAAGTAGCTGCAAATGGGTTGCCAGGCAACAAGGCAGGAGTATGTGCTTAATCCTGCACTGCCCACTGATTCTGCAGGTGCCCTGCAGATCATTTGTAATGGCCTTCCATCACCAGCCTGCCCCAGCTGGGCTGTGAAAGCGGAGATAAAGCCAGGAAAGCCAGATGTGTTGGTGTTGGTGAATGTCATCTGAAGGTGAGGAGCGAGTGGTGCTGTGGTCTAAACCACTGAGCCTCTAGGACTTGCCGATCAGAAGGTCGGTGGTTCGAATCCCCACGACGGGGTGAGCTCCCGTTGCTCTGTCCCAGCTCCTGCCAACCTAGCAGTCCCAAAGCATACCGGTGCAAGTAGATAAATAGGTACCACTGTGGCTGGAAGGTAAACGGCATTTCCATGCACTCTGGCTTCTGTCACGGTCCTCCATGTGCCAGTAGCGGTTTAGTCCTGCTGGCCACATGACCCGGGAAACTGCCTGTGGACAAACACTGGCTCCCTCGGCCTGAAAGCCAGATGAGCACCACAACCCCATAGTCACCTTTGACTGGACTTAACCGTCCAGGGGTCCTTTACCTTTACTTTTTTTTGGTAAATGTCACCTGAAGGTGAGAAGTGGCGGAAGGGGTTAAGCACCCCTCCCTCCTTCTTGCTTCCCAGTCCTCCTTCCCAGTTGTCCCTCCCCGCTTATTCCTCCATCCTGTTTTCAGCCGTTCTTCCTGCATTCACACTGTTTCCTGTTGGAGTTGTGCTTCTGAGCGATGTTGTCTGGATGCCCTGCTACAACTG